TATTATTATGAGCTAGAAGATCCCGAAACACCTAAATTCCACTCAAATCTTTCCATGGCAGTGGTCAATGCGCTTGAATTTTTTTTTTTTTTTGGATAGTTTCGTGCGAAAATGGCGATTGCGACCGGAAGGGAAAGAGAAAATAACTTCCGGACCCTTAATCGTTCTGAAATGTGTTTCTGTCTGTTAGGGACTGAACATGCCGTTTATAGTTTGTTGTTTATTGCATATGTTCATGACAGACGCCCTCAGTGAAGTTTGTTGTAGTCCTAGGGTCAACTATGGTTCAGGAGAGCGGGGGCGACCCTCCATCGGGAAAACCAAGCATCGAACCAGCAGTCTATTCAACATCAAATGACAGCGCACCCACCAACAATGATTTTAGGCTAGCTTTATGCTAAATCACCGAAGAGAATAAAACACGAAAGGAGGAACAACCTACCGAAGTCGTGTCTTACTCAAGAAACTAAAAGGGCAATTTGTGAGGGTATCTTCACTAAATTAGTGGGAATATGAGCACCAGTCGATAATTTCTTCAAGTTTTCTGTCAACTGGTGCTTGAAGTCCGCACGTTTACAATGAATAAACGTTAGAACAATCAAAGGTGTGTACTTATGTACATGAAATAGACGTCATCAACTCAGCTAACCTTCCCAAGAAATTTGTGCGGTGGTCCGCTCCTGCGGCTGAATGGTTTTTATCTTGATGCGCAATATTATGGTCTCAGCGACGTTACACAATCGACACAGTGCCCATACACCAGGTCACTGGAATCTGCCTGTGGATGATTTTAAATTAGTGTGGCTCCAAATAACTTATGCACCATTTCATTCAGGAAGCTGGATTTGTCCGCACTTATGACCTGATTCTACTGAATGCACCTACTTGTACAATCTGTGGTAGTGAAGTTGACCGCAGCAAGTTCCACACCGTCGAATGTGCACTTACGACGCGTACACCGAACCGTATTTGTCAAACGCTTTGCACATCGCATGGGTGGGCAAGACGATGACAGCTGCCATTGCATGGTGTACTTTTACTAACTGTTAGAGAAACAATGATGAGATGTAAGTGATGCCACTGTTGAAGCAGTGCCAAATGTACTCTAATTTTTTTAGGCAGTTTTCTTGAATGGATGTCGCGTCACTAAAGGCTGTGGAACAGCGAGTCACAGCAGCGGAATGACAGACTGCAATTTACTACCAAGTAGGCAATGTTAACAACTTTCCACTTTTCTAATTAGTCAATTTGAATACGGCTGTGCTATTGCGGTTACAAACTTTCGTTGTTCAACGCATTGGAGACAAAACATCTGGATCATAAACGGAGTGACGACCCGAGAATGGGGCTCATCTCTCACCTTTCCGATATGTCTAAGGAACAAATCTGCATTGCAATGGCGGTCCCATCACGACATAAAGTCACTTATGTGAATTACTTCCCGTCATTTCAAATCGTCAAAGTTGAACCTTGAAATTTAAAGTTACTGTTTGTTTCCATATCACGTTTTTTTCTGTTAGCGGGAAGTAACACTATAAGTGCATTACGCACAATGAATTGTCAGCCGCCAGCTGCTTTACCCTCCATCTAAAGCGAATTAATAAAACATTGGGTGGATCCAGCATGAGAGACATTCAGCTGTTACTAGTCAGGTTGCACAACTAAATCAAAGCGAAAGATTAGCATGGCTTTGAAGGCTCCTAAAACCTAGACAACATGGACTACGTCCAGTACTTAAAAGGTACTTACAAGAAACTCCTCCGAAGACGTCTTGTCCGAGGAGCAGCAGACATAACCACAAAATACACCAGCCTTGGAGACACATCCTACGACGCAAATGAAGGCTCCATGCATTAACTCTTTTTATAGGCTTACCAAGTTCACTTGCCGACCAATTAATGCTCGGACAGCACACAAACGTTGCATGCCGCACAATTAATTTGCGCATGCATCCACCAATTTCGCATTATGACCGATTTAATCCATTCAGCATTATCAATTATTGTAATATTCAATCATGAAGTGCATTAGTTCCTTCAACAAGAGTACAGAAGCGCTAGCCTTCCTTAAATTGAGTCCATGAAGTACTGAGTTCAAAGCATGGTACGAAAGTTAACGTACTGTACAAGCAAAAGCTTTCAAACATACCGTGAGGATAATGACATTAATTACATGGTAGCAACGACCTCCTAGAAACGAAGCCCATCAAGGAAAAGTAAATGATTAAGAGCAGTAGAAATGTAATGAAGAAATGCTTCCTGAAAATACTAAGTTGGTGAACTCCCCGAGTAAAGTTCGTAGGATATCTCAAGATTCTGCAGGGCAGCGGTGGTGGCATCAAGGGTTTTCCGCGCCTGGAGAAGTCGATCAATCAGGCACTGAGGATAAACTCCAGTAAAGGGGGACAACTCATTCCAGTAGACGGAAGACGAGGTCTGCATTGCAACCTTACTGGACTGTTTTTCGTTATTCCCATGACACCCAAGCTGATGGAGCGCCTTGCACAGCAAATCGAACCTAAATGATAGCAGAACAACGATGCTGAGACAGAACAACCAAGATGAAATAAAAAGAGATGAAGCCATCTTTGGTACTGCCCTGTATTTAAGTAAGCAATATGAATGCGCGTTAAAAAAACGTACACCTCATGAGTGACACGGGTATACTCTTTCAACGAGAATAGAGAAGAAGCACTTTTGCTATCCAAGGCTGAAGTTCGTTCGTCCAGGTAGTTTAGTAAACTTGCGTTCAACTCATCATCTGGACCGTCCAATTTTCCGACAAAGTCTACATGGAAGAACAACAGCGTTTGAGAAATGCGCTTCAATCTCGAGGATATTAAAAGGGAGGGAAAACGGACTTCCAAATAGGCTGGACAGAACCCTTCTCAGTTCCGAATCGATTGCACTGCAAATAGAGGAAGCAGTACAAACATTCTCCTTAGCTTCCAATTCATTTCCCAAATTAAACCGCACTTTTATCTAAAACAGTAAGGATATACTGATGATGTGAAAACTACGATACGGCCTATGAACCTGCGCTGCATCGCGCTAACACAAGCTGTTGAGGTAGAAGCAAAGATGACAAGTATTACTAATGTCGAATAGCGTCTAAATCAAAACTTGATAGGTGATTCACATTAAGCTTGTGTTATGAGCCACCTCGTCTCAATTCGACAAAATAGAATAGAATAGAGGGCTTACATCATCTGTTATGTCCAAATACTTTTGAAGTGCGGTGTGAATTTTGTCAAGGCATTGAGCCTGCTCAGCAAGGGCACTATCTTCCAAAGCCATAATATCACGGAAAATTTCCAACTGCGAGCAGTTTAACTTGACCGCCATAAGTTGCTGGGTGTAAAAGGGAGAAATGAAGACGGTGACAATAGCGCGTACGTGTAAGTGCAAAACTCACGCGATCCTGCGCATCAAATTGAGCCGTCTGATGAGCCATTCGGTAATCAACCATCAATCGACTTGTCTCCAGTGTGTCATTACATGAAAGTTCTCTTATAGATTCTAAACACGCCCTCCTCAGACATTCGCATTGAATGTGGAGTTGTTCAACGCCCTCCTGGATGCTTTAAGTAAGAAAACCCTAAATTTCCAAAAGCCGATGCAACTTAAAAATTTAGCTATAACAATAAGAAGTAGATCCAATGACTGTGACATTCAGTGAAAGAACGTTCAGCACAGACACTGCTTCCATAATACGGAAAAAAATCAATCCAATAGTGAAGACAAAAGTAGAGTTCTAGACATTTGAGCTAAAACAAAGTAAATTGCACAGATACAGGGACAAGAGAAGCAGCCATAGCTAAGCCCCTAAGGAAAATAGGCAAACAAAAACACTTCCAGAACTCAGCACAAGTGTACTAAATTAAAAACTCACACTGCTTCATCGAGCTCATTCGACTCAGCTTCCATACCTGAGCTGAGAAAATCGATTTCAGCTTTGAGACTAGATTCTTCTGCAAGAAGATGCAACATGATCAAGTCCGAAAGGTACTTTGCATTTTCAAGTCGAGCGCACTCAGACTTTTGGACATAATTGCTCTTAATTCCCGAGTCTGCCATACCAGTGTGCATGAGCGTGCTCCCTGACTGGCTCTTGAAATTAGCCCACAAAGGCTAAAAACAAAGATTTAACTACGTTTAATGATGGAAGGAAGCAAAAGGAGAAAAATGTGTCCAACAGATACATGACAAGAAAATGCTTGAATCGCGCAATGACAACAGTCACTAGTGAAATATGAACCCACCAACAGCCAAGTGAAAGAAGCAAAACGACTGTTACATAAAATGTTTGGTAAAATGTCAAAGATATGGTTGCCCACCGAGTCTCCAGGACCATCGATGAGAAATTTGTTGCCACAGCAAATCTTTGAGACCAAGCCTCCATTACCTTCCATACAAAGTAAAGTTCCACAATTGGGCGATTGATCATTCGAGTGGTCAACACAAGAGACATCAGGAAACTGATTAAGATAATTTACGCAAAGCAAAGCATTCATGCCGATCTGTGGGATCCAACAATGAAAATAAGAGCATCAATACCTTTCTGTCAAGGACATGACATTTTTCGACATCTTCTCGCAGGTGCTTTGAGAGTATCACTTCCAGAGCTCGCTCCATATTCTTAAAAAGCAGGAAAACCGACCATATCGGCAGTACCTCTAGATAGTTCGCTGTTTCCATGCATTAAAACGAATAGTCAAAAGCTTAAAATACCAATGAATGCTAGACATACCGAAGAGTAATGAAATATAAGATAAAAAGACAATTTTGGAGGAGTAAAGAGTAGGCAATACAGTTTGTTTAAAATTTTTGACATAGATATGTACACAGCCTGAAATGTAGGTAAAAACGTAAACGTAAGACAACCTAACCACCGACAATAAGAGTTTACGCCTATTACTGACCTAACGTTGTGGTAAATGTCGTAAAATTCATTTGTTATTTGGCCCTTATCGAGGCTGGAGATGTAGTTTCTCCCTCCCTTCTCTCCTAATCCTTTACGTTTGAACTAAAAATAAAAAAAGCACAGGTTGTAGAGCCCTGGAACTTCTTCCAGGTAGGAAAAGGTAACACTTTACAAATAAAGAAAGATGAATACCAAGGCAACCATCAGATTTCAAATGGTCACAGCCACGGAGTGGCTGTAATATATACTAGTGCTTAAGTGGATCTCTATGGGGGGGAGGCGGGAACTAAATTGGAACGCTAATCACGTGCACGATGACCACGAGTAGCCTCTCTCCGGTTGGTATCTTCTATTCGGCTCATATGTACTCCAGTCCCCGTTCCTCTTGTATCAATTGCCAAATAAATCGTCTGCAACTAACCCTCTCTTAAAGTCCGTGGTTCAAAGATATGAGGGTAGGAAGACAGTTCTTACGGTGGCAACTCTTTTTCTAAGACGGATTCTCACTCTCCTCTTATAGCGACCCTTCCCTCTTCGCTCCTAACCTCACTCTTCTGGGAAGAGGGACGGATGGATGATGATTTGCTAGGCGTTTATACGTAAGCGCAGTCTTCAAGGGTAGGGTAGAGCTATGATATGCAAACTAGTCCAGAGAAGCATCCTCAAACTTAGGTTTCAAGGCGTTCGAATTGAATTTGCCACCGTAACGGTTTGTTTATGTGAATACCTGACGTCCGGCGGTCACCTTAGGATTTGTCTGGCCCTTGTATTCGTGGGCTGGCTTTCGGCCCACGCTCAGGCTCATTTGCTTTGTCCTTTTTGGAGTTCATGTATCCAGTCCCACTTACTGCCTTTTTCTACCCTATGGAAAGCTCAAGGCCCAATTTAAACGGCCAATATGTATTGCGCCTCTTATAGATCCTGCTTACCTACCCATAGACTCCTGAACCTGAGACTTTGAGAGAGGTTTAGTTGAGGAAGCTTTATTAGGCATTATGTAGAGAACGAAAGGAATTGAGCGGAGAGGCTTGATGTTGTCAACCTGAGAACGTTTCTATAAGCTCCTTATGAACTGGATTCGTGTTCGAAGTCCATTCTTGTCTGTCTCCTAAGAAGCAAAATTAAACACAATATGTATTACACTTTTTGTACGAGATTCGTGCTGAATGCATTCCCCTCACCTTTAAGTGAAAGGTAAATATAGTGCGTATTACATTCAGTGTACCACATCATCTTTAAGGAAAAGGAAAAGCTACCAAAGGAGTGAAATACTACGCTTATTGTAACAATCCATTGTAGTGTCAAGTAGTCGTGTACGAGACGAATGGGAAGAGGTCGAACTAGACATCCTAAAGCAAGATGAGGCGCTGGTCTTGCAGGTAAATGATTAAAAAGCACTACATTCACAATGCTTTGGCTTCGTTTGAATGACATAAACAGCCATGTAGACTTGGATATTTGAGTCGGTATCCAGGCCATACCAAAAATTGGACCTCGGCCAAATGGTAATGTGTCAATGTAATTATCGTTAAGGTCAGTGTTCAAACGTTTACTTCTCATGTTATATTTTTGGGTTGACGTAAGTTCAACAATGGGTTGAAGCTGATAAGGGAGGTGCCCAACAAGAGATGGTAGATGGTGTGATTGTCTCTAGGACTTCAATGCAATAACGAACGGATTGTGATGGCTAACGAGGGAATCGTATCGGCAATGCCACACAAAACAAGTGGGAAATACGTGGTATTGAATTTATTAAACAGCCTGCGTGTGTGACGATGGGTTCTATGACCATCTTGCTTCTGCAGGTAGGCCGGACTCCACGGCATGCCTCCACCATCTTTTGTCTGCACACATGCTGACATTCAAGTCTAAAGCCTCCCGCTACCAATTGGCTAGCTTTGTGACGCCTCAACTCTAAACGTTTCAATTGATCTATTCAGAATTATAATACTGTATTCAACAAACATCTTGCAGATGGTAGTCTTGAGTAGCTTTTAGAAGAACAACCAGAAGAACTTGTCTTTGCAAAATTTCAAATGCAATACTTTGCTCATGCCACCACTTAATGTCTGACAAGTACCTAAAAACTCTTCAGACCCTCGTAGGCGTAGGCTGGCCTTTGGACCACATCATGTGTATTCAGCGAGACTTAATGCCTTCTTCGCCCTGGTAGGAAGTCGCAGGACGCCACACCAAGACCTCACGTTTTAAACTATGTGACATTGGACATAACCAAAAGAATATTTAATGCAGAAAGGTACTGTCAAAGCC